ATAGAAAATACCAAAAAAAAAAAAAAAAAATCCCCTCATATTTTTTGTGACAAATGTTTAAAAGCGGCTGTGACTCGATAGGGTGAAAATGTCCCCCCCCCCCCCCCCCCCCCCCCCCACAGACCGTGGAAGACAAAATCCTTATCCATCACAGGCCGTGACAGAAAAGCCAGTATCCATCACAGACCGTGGCAGAGAAAGCCAGTACCCATTACAGACCGTGACAGAGGAGCTCCAAGGGCCATCATAGATTGTGACAAATCTTTTGATACACGATTTACGATTATGTCACGCTAGAATCTCATAAAAATATATCGAGTGCTTCATTATTGCAGTTCTAGAGAATTAAGTCAAAAATGATGAATAAATAGATCCCAAGGTATATTGAAGAAAACCATATTCGTGTGACTAGTAATAACGGCTATATCGTGTTTCGCATTTTAATCCCGCAGGGATTGCGCTAATAGCTTTACTTATGTAAATATATAATTCCATTTGCTCAACGTTAGAATGTAATAAGAGAACCATTTGCATTGTATCTTGAACTATAGATCTCAAATCCCTTCATCTAAATCAAAGGTCAAAATCAAAATTTCATCTCGGTGGTAGATCATTTTCATGCATTCTTTTGCATGTTTTTCGAAGATGATTAGTTTTAAAAGGGTTTCGTCTTATACATTATCGGAGAAAAAGATATACCGACTTCTTCTCTTTCAATTGGTGAAAATCGCAGATCGCTAGCTGTTGCCGTTATCGAGTTATTGCGCTTACACCCACCCCTCTTTTATTCTGGCGCGGACATTAGTCATATACGAGAACTTTTTGAGAACAAGGCTAGGCATGATAATCCGTCATGAATATCATCTGAAATGCCAAAAACATGGAAAAATATAACGATTTGTCACTCTTTTTGTGGGCACTAGTAAAATACATTCTCAACACCATTTCATTAAGGACTGTTATCTGTTGAAAGAGTTTGAAATTCTGAATCTGTATGACCCACTTTGAGCCATTCTAGGAAAACTATCACCAAGATGGATAGCAAAACTTTTAGAGTGGTCCACCTGAGCCACTTTGAGCCACTCTGACCCATTTTAAGTCACTCTAACTCAGAACTTTAAAAAATAAATGTTGGAAAAAGTGAAGTCAGATGAGGCTCTGTTATATATTTTGAACTAACTAGAACCATCAGCCATTCACCTTAACTTCGTCTGACGTCATTTTTCCAAACATTTTGTTTTTGAGATTTTTGGGTAGAGTGACTTAAAGTGAGTCAGAATGGCTCACAGTGACTTATGTGGACCACTCTAAAGGTTTTTGCTATCCATCTTCGTGATAATTTTCTCAGAATGGCTCAAAGTGGGTCATACATATTCAGAATTTCAAGCTCTGTCGACTGGTAACAGTTCTTAATGGAACAGTCCTCAGAGTGGATCAGAATGGATCAGAGCGTATTTTACTAATACACCTCTTTTATGGTGTCTTACGCAATAAGCCCTCTTATCGATTAATTGATGGTGTCAGGACTAGCCTAAATGAAAAAAAAAGAGTAATCGCGAAGGTTAGATTCCATCATGTTCACTTATGTTACATACCTCTTATGTTACATACCTCTTATGTTCAGTCAATTGAACTATATGATTCAAGAGACTATTACGGTCAATGCTAGGTCTTTCTAACATGTTCTTGGACTTTACAAGGCTTCGAATTTCAGAAGCTTGTTATATTTATACTCTTCTCTTTTCTGTGTGTCAACAACAAAATCTAGTACTAGATGTCCACTTTTATTGATGGAAAGTTCTTGTGTGAATATTGATAGTTGGTATCATTTTGAACTTACAATTTATATTGCTATCTAAACTAAAATAATCTTCTCTATGAGATACTAATCAATTAAAGTTAAATCTTCACAGCTTTGTTTATATATACTAGCTAAAATTAATTACAACTGGAAATGAATAATCTTCTTTCCGTTTATTTGTATATTAT